ACCCTGCCGGGGCTCCCCCGCCTGCCGCGGCCGCCCGCAGCCCTGCTGCTGAACACCATCAGCGAGCAAGACTCGCCTGGCGCCCTGCGTGGCGGCTCGCCCAGCTAGAGCAGGCCGGACAGGCCACGCGACGGCGGGGGTGGCCGGGCCTCTCGGGGGTGGGAGCCCTGGGCCTTGGCGCTCCTCTCCTGCATGTCCTGTCTGCGGGCACCGCTGGCGTGGGCGCCTCTCCCACCAAGCGCCGTGCCAGGGCTGAGCCGCCTTGACTCTGCCCCGCGTGGGAGCAAGGCCGCGGCGCTGGACTGCCGGGGGTCTTGCAGGGGCGGCGTGCACACTGCTGCCCTGGACGGGACGTGCAGCCCCTCGGCCCTGCTGGAGGAGGAGGCCTGCGGCCCGGGGCTGCACCTGTGGCGCTGGCCGGCTTCTCTGCGGGCTAGCGGGCAGTGGCTGGCAGGGGCTTGTTGCCCTTGAGTTCCAGGTGACAGACCCACGCACACCACACACCCTCCGGCCCTCCCAGCAGGAGCAGCCTCTGCAGGTCAGTCCTGGTGTCAAAAGGATGCCGCCTGCTCTGTGGTTTTTCTTTTGAAAACAAACAGCAAAAGACTGCTGCACAAGAGAGCCTGGCCGGCGGGCAGGCGGAGTCCTCTCCTGCAAACGGGGTCCCCGGCCTCTCCCCACTCTGGCCCTCAGGGCCTGGGGGCAGGTGGCCGGGAGCCGTCTCGTGTGCCGGCTGTGGGCTCTGGACCCCTGGGGCGGAGGCCCCACGCTGGGTGGTGGGCTATGGGGGCAGCTGTGGCCCCGCGTCTCTGCTTTGGTCCATGCCACGAGCAACCTGATGGGCCTCCGTGCCCTGTGGCCTTCACGTCTGGCTGCTCCCTGTGGATGAGCGGACGGAGGGGGCCGTGGGCGCCCCGTGCCTGGCTCTCACGCCATGCTTTGTCTTTGGATACGTTGTTGTGGGGTTTGTGGTGGTGGTGGTGGTTTGTCTTAAGTGACCACTTGGAAGAAATGCCTTGGTCACCTGTGGTCTTCACGCCCTGTCCTGCCTGCCCCGTGTGAGGGGCAACTCTGTTTTCTGTGTAAAGTCCCAGCAGGCAGGGAAAGTGCCGTCAGAGGCCACGGGACCCTGTGCCTGCTGTGTGGGCCGCCCTGGGGCTTGCTGGGAGCAGCCTGGCTGAGGCCAAGGCGGGGCTGATGTTCCCTGCCCACCTGTGGCGGGAGGAGAGTCTTTCTTTTCTAGAGGGTGAGGCCGCCCTCACAAGGCGTTGGCACCCAGGGGAGAAGGACATGTCTGTGTCCGGAACAGACACAGCCCAGGCTTTGGGTGACCTGTGTCTGTGTCTGGATTCCACAAAACCAACCCGCATGAGCCACGTGAAGTCTGTGCAGCAGCTCTGCGGCGCCGTGTGTCGGCCGTGCGTAAGCCCGCGCCTCTTTTCCTGTGAAGATGCCTTGAGTGGCCATCGTGTCCCGGCGTGAGCCACACGTCTGGGCGGGCGGCCCTTCAAGGCATCCTGTCCGCGTCTACTGTTTACGAGCACATGTCTGCCTGTGGATTTGGCGCCCCACGCGTCCGCCACGACCCTGTGGCCTGAGCCGCTGCGTGGTCGTGCCCTCACCACGCCATCTGCGTGCCGTGCGGCTTGCGGCCCTGTCTGTCCTATCAGCGGCTGCACTCTGATGCCACTGCCTCCCGTGTCGGCCGGGGCCTGGGAGGCTGCTAATGACCGGCATGAACTGGCTGCACCCAACATCAGCCCTGCTGGCAAGGCCTTGGCGGGCACAGCGGTCCCAGGGGGCCACCTCCCCCCCGCCGACCCGCAGGTGGGTGGCTGTGGCGGGAGCCACCCGGCACCGCCAGATGCCTTTCCTTCCACCCTCTGAAGTCCGAGGTGCCTCCCTGGTGCGTCTCAAAGGCTGACGAGTTTTACCATACGAGCCTCGGCTGCCTGACCTGGTGGCTGACTCCAACCCCGAGCTGCGTCCCCGTGGCCGGGGCCGTCTCACGTCCACGGCGGGGTCGCTACAGGGTCCTCCGCCCTGGCCGAGAGACCAGAAGCACAGCTGTGGGACGAGACGGAGATGGACGGTGTGTGGGGCCCGGGACAGTCGAGTCGGGCTTCGCAGTGGACGGGACGGGCGCCGAGGGCCCGGTGCTACGGTTGGGGGTCTGCAGGCACTGACACATTCCCGTGGGGGCCGGCGCCGTCTGTCGTTCTTGTGCATATGTGTATCTTAAGCAATAAGAGTCCGCTAGCCAGACCTCCCGGGCCGTCGCGGCAACGCGTTTCCCGTGCTGTGATGGTTCTGGAGATGGAGCGGCTCTAGCCACTGAGAAGCCCAAATAAAAGCCAGTCCAGCACCTGCTTGGTTTCCTTGCGGCACGTGGCTCCTTCCTCTTGCTCAGACTCCGGGGGCCGCGCCTTGGGCTCCTAAACCACAGACCCTCGCCTTCACCCCCGGGAGACGGCGCCACACAGCAGGGAGGATGGGGCCAGGGCCTGCAGAGCCGCCCGGTCCTGCGCTGCCATGCACGCGCTTTGGACGTCCGGCATGCCCGTAGCATCCCGCGGACGGGCCGGGTCAGACCCGAGCAGCAGAAACAGGCTTTATTAGATGCCCCTGGTGAAACCTGGCCTTCTTCCAGAGGCGGGGTCGTGCCGTGCCGCCCAGGCCGGAGCGCCGTGGCGCACTCGTAGCTCGCCATTGCCCGGACCTTCCGGGCTCGCGCAGTCTTCCCGCCTCCGCCTTCCAAGCAGCTGGGACCACAGGCGCCCGGCCGCAGCGTGACATCTCGGGCAGCAGGCGCTCTCAGTGATGGGACGGACGCGGTACTCGGCCCTGGACTTGGTAGAGCCTGCATGGAGGTGCCCGTGCCGGGTGCCGAGGCTCACGGGGAAGGCCTCTGTGCGACGAGGCCCCTGGCCTCCCGAGCCGAGGCCGCCGTCAGGGGGACGTGGGACCAGCTGGACAACGCCAGGCAGGTTGGGGCGGAGCGCTGGGACCGGTGCCCGTGGAGGAGAGGGCAGCGTGAGGGCTCACTGCCAGGCGGGAGGCCTTGGGTTGACTTCTGGCCCTGAGGGGGCCCCTGTGTCCCCATCTGCCACTGTGGGACAGCGCTTCTCCCCAAGACAGAGCGAGCGCCTCCGTCCTTTGCCACCTGCTGAAGCCTGGCCCCCTGCTGGCCTGCATGGGGGCCAGTCCCCGTGAAGGCCAGGGGAGGGACAACTCGGGCTCTCTGTCCCGAGGGGGACACCCTGCGAGCGGGAGTGCTCCGAGGCCGCCTGCAGGAAGGCGGAGCTGGGGGTCATGTCCCGGGAACCCCCGGGGGCTCGCCGGCAGGCCCAGCCCCGGCTGCTGGCCTGAGTCCCTGCCCTGGCCCTCCCGAACGGCGGGCGCTTGCAGCGAACGCGAGCCCGTCAGCTCCTGGGGACCGCAGGGCAGCACCCCAGCGCGGTGTCCCTCCTCTTCAGGCCAGTGCCGAGCACCACGGAGACAAGACGGGCCCGCCGCCGACTTCCCGGCCCGGTTTCCTCTGTGTCCCGCCGGGCCTCGGCCGCCTGTGCCGTCTGTCCTCTTGGCTCCGAGAGGACGGGAGGGTGTGCGGTGGCGTGAGCAGACCCATCTCCAGGGTAGCCACACCCCCCGTGGCCGCTCAGACCTGTCTCCACGGGCCACGCCTCCGGCCGTGCCTGTGCCCTGGTGTCCAGCGCGGCCGCGCCCCCGGCCCCCGACTGGGTCGCAAGTCCTGCGTTTCTCGCAAGGCGCGGCCTCGGCCGTCTCCTCTGCTCCAAGCGACCAGGTGTGAGTGGAGACGGTGCGGGGCCCAGAAGCCCAAGACGGGCGTTCTGATGAACACAGGTTTCAAGACACTCCCCACTCCGCAGTTTCCGGTGTGTGTGTCTTGGGGCGGGCAGTGTTTGGGACTGGGGCCCCAGCCTGGGGACGAGTATAGCCAGGCACGGTGGCTCACACCTGTGGTCCCAGCACTTTGGGAGGCAGAGGCAGGAGGATCGCTTGCACCCAAGAGTTCCAGACCGGCTAGGGCATCGTAGCAAGGCCCCATCTCTACAGAAAACTAAAAAGAGCAGGGCCTCCACGGAGTGGGAGGGGCGGGAAGGGAGAGATGCCACAGTCCTGGCTCCTCTGTAGAAGGTCTGGAGTGGAGGGCCGGCACACACCAAGCCTCTATGCACTTGGGGGGCCGTGAGGAGAGTTGAGTCCACCTGGGGATTCATGGCAGGCTTCCCGGAGGAGATCACGCTAAACTGAGCTTCCGGCCGGATGCGGTGTCTCACACCTGTGGTCTCAACACTGTGAGGCTGAGATGGGAGGATCGCTTCAGGCCAGGAGTTCCAGACCAGCCCGGGAACGTAGTGAGATCTCCTTTCGATAAAAAAAAGTTGCAAAGCGAGCGGGGCAGAGTGGCGCACACCTGAGCCCAGGAGGCCAAGGCCGCGGCTGTGGCGAGCGCACCACCGCACTCCAGCCTGGGCAGCAGAGACCTGAACCCAAACAACCTCGAGCTTTCCAGGTTAGGTCCAGAGGGAGTTCTAGGCGAAGGTCTGCGCTGCGGGTGACTGCCCGCCGCGTGCCTACATTGAGCGCCTCCCGTGTGCCTGCTGTTGAGCTGGGGCGACAGGCAGACCACGGAAGGCCGTTCGGCGCGTCTCCCCGGGTGGCTGTCTCCACGCCAGGTCCGTGAGGCGTCACGGCTCACGTCCCTGTTTCAGCCTCGGTAGGGCCCTCGAGACGGGCCGCATCTCGCCCGCTTGTCGCAGGACTGAGGCGCCAGCTGGCGAGTCCGCGCAGGTCGCTGCCTCCTGAGCAACAGAGCCTGGCAGGGGACGGGGGAGGGGTGTGGTGGCAAGGACTGAGGACCGGCCACTGCCCCAGGCGCGGGGGGGGG